ATAAATTAAGTCTTGATTGTTAAGGATTTACATCATGTAAGATTCTCCGCATCTATATTACTTACTATGTAGCTATTGAAGTAGTAATATATTCAACTATTGAAGGTGATAATAGAGTAGATTTTTATTTTTTAGAAGCTCATGAGATTGCACTTGAACTAAATCTGCAAACAGAATCATTTGTACTTTTTTTGTCATCAACATGATCTGCCCAATCACTATCTAAATCACCATGCAAATTAAATTAAGAAATATGTTGATATAAATTCTATAATTGATAGTCCTATGAATATATTGAAATATTCTCTTTGCTGCTCCAAGATGATGAACTAATGGTGAATGCATAAATCTTGAAATCACAAAAACTGAAAATCTAGTCGAGTATTCATAGTTCTATCATTGCACCATATGTTCTGTATTCATGTTAGTGTTGAAAGAAAAGAAAAGAAAAATTATATGTTTGGTTTCCATGAAGATTAAGAATCTCTTTTGTTGTTAGATATTTGTTGTAATAACAATGCTTTGGTTATGCTAATGTTCTTCAACCATTAAACAACCTATCACGGAATGTGAGATACGTCGTGTAGAGTTGCTAGAGACACTTCTATGCATTGGTGTTGATCTGCAGCCTTATGGGTGGATTGCCATGGTGGAGTTGTCAATGCATTTACTAGTGTCACAGAGAGAGCTCACCTTGTCATATCTTCTCGAGTTTTCGTTGTCTCATTATCTATAATCCTTACTCATATGGAGTTTGAACATGAGGAACTTACAATTCCAAAGTTGTTTATCAATGGGTAGGTGAAAGTTTCTTATCCTCATTTCTTGTGTAACCTTTACTGAAATATTTTTTTATACACTATAATATTTTAGTTTTATTAAAATGGGCGGAGAGGAGATTGTGGTAAGATACGTGGTCATTGGAAGGACAACTTTTTTCATGGAATGTGGCTGAAAGCAACAGCCCGCCAAAATTCTCTAAGACATGCCCCACTTTTATGCAACTTAACTTCGTCATGTCACAGTCGTTGGAGATACAAAAGTTATAATTTTTACAATATTGATGACAATTGTCGAAGATGATTCATTGACCCACTTCATTAATTTTTTAAACTTCACAAAAATATCTAAATTAATTTTAGTGATCATTGTCATAAAGTTCAAACTCTATTATTTTTACTTTATACTTATTTTTTTATTTATTGAATAATAGTTTGTGTGATTTCAAGTCTTTCAAACCCTTTTCATTTAAATACAATTCCTTTGGTTTTTCTAAATTTTAATTTGATCAATTAAATCATATGTAATTACTTATGTAAGAATTATTAGATGGAATTATGTTATGTCAAAATCACATTTATCAAGGTGCTGATGTCATCTCAACATCCACACTTAAAATTTTCTATTTTTATAAAATTGTAAATATATTTGTATTCATCATTTAGTCTATAAATCATCAAAAACAAGTATTTTTTGAAAAAAATTGAAGTACTATCAGATAGTATATTACATCTCTGTGATCAACTTAAAAAATTATCAATATTTAAAAACCCTTTTTATCTAATTATAATTTATTTATTTATTATAACATATTTTAAATTTTCAACTATTAATATTATAAATTTGAAAAATATCAAATTTATGCTATTTATTATACAATAATTAGGTCATATTAAAAATTATTCAAAAGTACAAACAATGGGATTCGATAATAGAAAAATTAATAAATCAATTATATGAGTCTTTGTAAAATATGTTTTAAGACAATATGGTACTCAATTGATCAAATTCTGACCAAATATTATACTTACAGAATAAATGGATGAAAATAAGGATGTGAAGTATAGACACCTCAAATGAATTGAGACATGCATTGGGCACTACGTATTCCGGAAGTTTTAAGCTTTGACAGTTTAAATGGACATTCTACTTGATTATGGGCTGTTTACAGAACCCCTCTCAGATAGATGGTTTTTAACATCAGTGACATTTGTTCTGGTCCACCTGCTTTCTCCTTTCTTTCACTTCGGGCAACTTCCTGCCTGTCTATCTAATTATCATTCCTTCATTATTTAATAATCCCATTTTCATTGCAAATGTACTTGGGTCTTTTTGTGCTAAGTGCATCTTAGTGTATATTTTTGCCGTCGCCGCTAATCATGCAATGAGTAGTTTGTCATTTATAGTGCGTGATACTTAATTACAAGGATTTTTGGACATTTCTACAATCATATTGTCTACTTCTATTATCGTCATAGATGAATTAATTGACTTACTGCCCTCGCCACTGATCCGATTGATGGATGTGCTCATTGCCAGCTCTTTGTTTGGATTCACCAACGGTTCAACAACATCTGCACTTGTTGATTCATCCCAGGAATTTGGATTCCAGATGTCTGAAGGTCATGGTCTTCATTTCAGTGATGAGAATTCGATTGGTAGAACTGTACCTGGTGGAACACATGCAGAATCTGTTCAAACTACCAATGGATTTCCATCATCCAGAACTCTCTCTGGAGTAGACGCCTCTGCCTCCGATCCGGTACTAGTGCATTCTATTGATCGACGTGTCTCTGGCATGGTGGGTGCTATCCAACACACAGTTGGTATCAACGTGGCCACATCAGATACATATGCTGGTAATGATATGCCGTCAAATGAGAGGGCAACAGAAAGAACCACCTTCGTTAGACAGGGGAACCTGCCAACTAATTCTCAGGTTCTTGATGCACCTCAACCTTTATCAAATTCGCAGTTTGGCTCATCAAGTAGTTGGGCCTCTTCAAACTATGGCAGCAGGCCACAAGTCATTGCTCCTCAGAAAGGTAAAGGAAGGATGAGGGCACTTCATTCTCTGTTCCTAGACCAGCATATGCATAATGACTTTTTCTGAGTATTTATAGCTTTTCCTCCACATGCACTTTCTTTTTCTCTATCATAGTTTCTTTGAGATTTTTTAGCTTGGGTCACAAATTATAGGGTGACTTGTGATGAATTTTTCTTCATTATCCACTTCACATTCATGTATTTTCAGTAGATTCTTAAATTGCGAATAGCATTACGAATCTGGTTGCAGTTTCTTTTCAGTGAGATCTTGTGACAAGTTTCCAATACTTGACAAGGTCATTATTGGAGTTACTATCATTACTTAACTTTGATATTTGTCTGGAAATTCTAACTGGCACGTCTTGAAAGAACTCTCACTCAGGAAATTTTTAACATTAATATATTTAGCGCTAGCGATCTGTCACTGCCCTACGGTTATTTTGCATCTCCTTTACTCATAGACTGGGGGAAATTGCATCTCATGACTTAACCAGGACTTACGTATCATTTGAAGGCTCTCACAATCAGTTCCTTTTGTTGATAATGAGGGAAACAGCCATCAGTACTTAGTGCACGATTTTATTTGATGATATTTTTATTCTGACGTGTTTTTATGTTTCCAATTTTTGTAGTATCTGATGATGAATACATGCTGCATTGCAAACACATCTTTAATTGCCTTATTTTCAAGTATTGATTCGTTTTATTCTTGAATATTTACTTGGACTTGCTAAGGAGTTTATTTCTCTTTTCATGTTTTCGGTTCTCAATTTTAAATATTTAGTGTCAGGTTTAATCAGGCCTCTGGTCTGCTTGGGCATCCTGACTATCGTCTCTGGAATAAAAAATACAGTGTGTGCGTCTGGTGTTCTTTTCTGGTGATCTGTTCGAATTGCAACCTGGAATTTTTGCGACCATATCTAGGCTTGTTTTGCTTTGTTGTGATAATGGTTATTCTCATCGGTCTGGAAGTTCGCGTGATGATTATTTTTATTAATTGGGTATTGGGTTTTCTTTGGCCAGCTGCTCCTAGTAAGGAGTGGAAACCAAAATCAGCAATCCAAGTCCCTGGTCAAGTTGCTGTAACAACTGGTGTGGCTGCTGATGCGCCTGGTTCGTTTGAAACAAATTCTTGGTCTGAACCTGGTGTTCCTGAAGAAGCCGCCTCCAAGATTGAGTTGAAGTTGGAAGATCTACACTTATCAGATGGTGAACATGTTATCATTCCAAACCATCTGCAGGTCCCAGAAGCTGAAAGAAGTGGACTGAGCTTTGGAAGCTTTGATGCCAGTTTCTCATTGCCATTTTTGGGTCATTTTCACCTACCTGGCTTAGAGAGTCTCTCTTCTCTCTCTTCTCTCTCTCCTTTTTTTTTGTTGAGGTCATTGAACTCGGAATACATCTTTTGCGCAGTACGCCTCCTCATCTCCCTTCTGTTTCTCCACCGCCGTCTGATCTCATCAAGAGTGAGGTTTCCACCCGACAGACTTCAAGGTGCCAGCAAGAAAATGGTTGATATATATCTTGGCTTTGCAACTCCCCTGCCGATCTCTTCCTTCCTGCGTAGAAACTATCAGCATGAATGGCTGCCTTGCTTGTCTGGGATTCTTCTGGGATCCCATATCTCTTGCTCCCTTAGTTATGATAAATCTCTTGGAACTTACGGATAGAAAAGGATTTAAGTAAACATAAATAGCGTTTCATGGGATGAATGAAAAAGTCAAAATGATTTGGTTAACTTAAATGAAAAGTAATTTATGAAAAAGTCAATGTAGAGGGAGTAATGAACTATGAATGCATTGCATATTGGAAACAAGTTCCCTTGTTTACTGTTATTGGAACCATATGATGTTCCGTAATTTTATTCTGGATGTAATTTCCTTTCATTAATGATATCCGTCGGTAAGAAATAACGACGATACAAAGTTTGAGATGTTGTTATCGTAGGTAACTTCATGCGCCGTTTATTTGCAAGGACCCCAGCTGGACAGGCGAACGTTGACCATCATCTGTTGGCTGCTGGAATATTTCAACCGTGCTAATAGTTCAATGTCAACCGTAAATTTCGGTGAAATCGGATGATCGGGAGAGAGAGGAGGAAAGGCGGTGGTGGACTACAGATGCGGATGTTGAATGGATCCTGTTCGTAGGTTATAAACAGTTATGTTGCATTTCTACATTGGTTGAAAACAAGGGGTAAACTTGGACCGGACGTCTTCATGCTCCCACTCTAATTGTTCCAACCATTCTTTTTCACCAACGATCTCTTTGATGTTCTTGGCAGTAGAGAGCCCAAAGGGCAGCTTCTTCAGCTCTGGACAGTTGCTTACATTGATACGCTCCAAGGCAGGAAATAACAACGGATGCCTACATATGCTCCTCAAATTCGGAAGATCATACAACCAAATCAACTGTAATTTAGGGAAGAAAGAATCATTTTCATAATCCACGTTGTCCACCGTCACCTCTTCGACTACTATCACCTCTTCTATTCTCGAACATCCATCTAGTATTAACTCCTGAATGCAGGGCAGTTGTCTGATCCACGTTATGTCCTCCAATGCTTCACATCTGATAATCCACAATCCCCGAAGGTTTTTGAAGATGTTGCTCGCAAACACGTTGCCATCTTTCCAAGAGATCGTTGCTCGGGGAAGTGTATCCAATGCCAGTTCCTCCAGCTCCGAGAAATGGTTGGTGTTGAAGACCAGCTCTTCCAAGTCGGTAGAATCCGAAATCTCAAGTATTCTCAGGCCCTTCAAAATCTCATGAAAAGCAGACAAATCTAAAGATCGGATTCCCACCTTTAGCAGACCTAGAAATCTGATCGACGCAGACAGTCTCTGAGAGTTCAGTACAGCCTGCATGTCTTCATGCGTCATCCATGTTATAGAAATACCGAGCTCCGTCAGGTTCCACATGCCGTCCTCCAAGTCTTTCAGACACAGTTGTCTCCCCTCATGGTCAATCACACCATCGCTACCACCGCCCTCCCCTCCTGCTCTAAACTTACTCCTATAAATGTTCAACGACTGCAGCCTTTCAAGCGATGAGACCGTCTCGCGTGGGATACTCTTAAGAGACCGGGTGTTCTCCAAATCCAGTTGTCTCAGCTTCGTCAAATTCCTGACCTCCATGGGTAATGATTCCAAGGGAGTCCTTGATAGATTGAGATACCGCAGTTCTACCAGTGACCCGATTTCCCGGGGGAGAACCTTTATTTTCGTCCACGACAGATCTAAAACACGAAGGCTCGGCATGAACTGGAAAAACCCACCGGGGATTTCCTCCAGATGAGGTCTGTTGTGGTTCAGCAACAGCGTCTGCAGATTGGGGCAACGAGGCTCCTCAGGGAGCAGGCGTATCTCATTACGCATCAGAGATATCCTTCTCGCCTCCGTCCATCTTTCCGGCGTCGGCACGTGCCTCAACTGCTCCCCGGAGTTCACCAAGAAGACATTCCCTCTCTTGTCGCCTTCGCCGCTGGTTATCCACAACGCCATCTCCCGGACCGTGTCATGGAGCTTCACGAATGTTCCTTTGATCGCCCCGTCTTCTAGCAGGCAGGCAGCCTTGAGAGTGGTGATGACAACGAGGCCGCGGTTACGAGCTCTGTCAATGGGGTCGGGATAGGATCCCCTATCTAAGAGCCCTTCGCCCACCCAGTAATCAATGAGCACGCTTAAAACGATGTTGTGATCCTCTGGGAAGAGGGCGCAGTAGAGAAGGCACTCCTTGGCGGATGTATCTTTCAATCTGTCGAAACTGAACTTGAGAAGAATTAGAACCTCTTTCATGTCTCCGAGCTCCACGGGTATGCCCTTCAGCGCCATGAGAGCCTCTTGCCACTCGTCAGGGGTCGTGACGCCTGCCATGGCCCGGCCTACCGTAATGAGGGTGATTGGCAGGCCTCCGCATTTTGCGGCAACGGCTTCAGCGAGAGATCTCATAGAGGGATCCCACTGGTCTTCTTCCCTGCCCAGCTTTTGGCAGAAGAGCTTCCAAGAGCTCTTTCGATTCAAGAGGGGCACCTTAACTTTCCTCTGAGCGTCCATATCGTTGCACACTTTCTCTGATCGTGTGGTAAAGACTACCTTACTTCCGTTCCTGAAAGAGGAAGAGAAGGGGACGCCTACAGCTTCGAGATCTAGTTTCTCCCACAGGTCGTCCAGCAGCAGAAGGAAATTCCTCTTGGAGAGGGCGCTCAGTAGGGTGTTGACCCTGTCGGTTGGATGCTCTGGGAGGGTCTGGCCCTGGCCTTTTCCGGGGCGAGAGTAGCCCAGCCGGACGGCGATGTCCTCTTGAACCTTCCGGACATCAAGCTCCTTGGAGACGGTGACCCAAATCACCAGATCGAAACCGCCGGATCCCCTCTGGAGGAACTCGTTGTTGATCGCCTTCAAGAGGGTCGTCTTCCCTACTCCTCCCAAGCCGTAGATCCCGATGACTGGCGCTTCATTGTCTTCCAGGAGGCTGCGGATCTCCGACAACGTCTTCTCCGCGTCCACGATGGAGGCTGAAGAGATCGGCTGCGGAACCACCGCGGGCGGCGGCGCCTGGATGAGTAGGGGGAGGAGATTGCCCCTCTGGGTCTTCAGCCTCTGGACTTCTTTCAGGCACTCGGCAGCTTCACAACCGAGCCGATAAGAGGATCGTAAAGAGGAGCCCTCAGGGGAGGCCCCCCTCTGCTGGAAGGAAACCCGGAAATCGGCCTCCCTGGACTCGATCTCCTGCACCTTCCTGAGCCAATTCTTGGCCTGGGAGGTCGGCCCCATGTCCTCAAGCTCCCCTTGTTTGATATGCTCTTCTAGATCTTCTCTTAGACAGATCAGATCTGTCATCTCCCTGCCCAGCTCCTCCGCTCTGGAGTCCAGCAGAATGAGAGTGACGATTCCACCGGCGGCCAGATTCCACACCCAGGAGACGGCTTCCCCCGTGCTGCTCTGCAGGAAATTTTGCACACCCTGCGATAAGGGATCCCAGAAGAATCCCAGACAAACAAGGAAGGGATTCATGCCGATAATCCCTACGCAGTGAGGAAGGAAGGGATCGGGGAGAGAGAGAGAGAGAGCAACGGCTGCCTTCCTGCCGAGGGATAACAGGCGAGGGGGAATTACATAGCCAGTATACACCAGCCATTTCTTAGCTTCACCTCGAAGCTTGTCGGGTAGAGGCGCACTGCGCACCTAACAGCTGGAAAGATAAGATGGATGAGGAGTCGTGGAGCTCAGAAGATGTAATTTTTTTTTCAATCCCTGATCGATGTATCTTTCAATCTTTCAAAACTAAACTTGAGAAGAGTTAGAACCTCTTCCATGTCTCCGAGCTCTGCGGGTATGCTCTTCAGCGCCATGAGAGCCTCTTTCCACGCGCCAGGGGTGGTGGCATCCGCCATGGCCCGGCCTACGGTGATGAGAGTCATCGGCAGGCCTCCGCATTTTTTATAAACGGCTTCTGCGAGAGTTTTCAAAAATAGATCCCACTGGTCTTCTTCCCTTCCCAGCTTTTGGCAGAAGAGCTTCCAAGAGCTCTCTGAATTCAACAAGGCCACCTTAACTTTCCGCTGAGCGTCCATCCTGCTGCAAACTTTTTGTAGCAGGATGGACGACAGGAAATAAAGCCTACTAAATGACAAAAACTACTTAATAAGGACGAAATAATGTACTCTTTTTGTATTAGATACTAACACTCCCCCTTAATGCAAAAACGTCTCATAATAGACTCTCTAAGCTTGAAAAACTTTGAGTACTCCACTATGCCTTCATAAAATCATCTGCCACTTGATCTATTGTTGAGTAAAATTTCATCTAATGTAATTTGAAGCAACTAAATCTTGGATAAAATGACGTCGTATTTCAATATGTTTTGTTCATCCATGAAATTTTGATTCTTTGTCATAGAGATAGTTGTCATGTTGTCACAATAAATTAAGTCTTGATTGTTAAGGATTTACATCATGTAAGATTCTCCGCATCTATATTACTTACTATGTAGCTATTGAAGTAGTAATATATTCAACTATTGAAGGTGATAATAGAGTAGATTTTTATTTTTTAGAAGCTCATGAGATTGCACTTGAACTAAATTTGCAAACATAATCACTTGTACTTTTTTTGTCATCAACATAATCTGCCGAATCACTATCTAAATCAGCAAGAAAATTAAATTAAGAAATATGTTAATATAAAATTTCATAATTGATAGTCCTACGAATATATTAAAATATTCTCTTTGCTGCTCCAAGATGATGAACTAATAGTGAATGTATAAATCTTGAAATCATAATAATTGAAAATCTAGTCGAGTATTCATAGTTAACTATCATTGCACCATATGTTTTGTATTCATGTTAATGTTGAAAAAAAAGAAAAGAAAATTATATATTTGGTTTCCATGAAGATTAAGAATCTCTTTTGTTATTAGATATTTGTTGTAATAACAATGCTTTGGTTATGCTAATATTTGGTTAAACAACATGTCATGGAATGTAAGATACGTTGTGTAGAGTTGCTGGAGACACTTTTGTGCATTTGCGTTGATCTACATAAGCCTTATGGGTGGATTACCATGGTGGAGTTGTCAATACATTTACTAGTATCACAAAGAGAGCTCACCTTGTCATATCTTCTCGAGTTTTCTTCGAGAGATGTTGTCTCATTATTTATAATCCTTAGTCATGTGGAGTTTGAACGTGAGGAATTTATAATTCTGAAATTATTTATCAATGGGTAAGTGAAAATTTCTTATCCTCATTTGTTGTGTAACCTTTACTGAAATATTTTTTTATACATTATAATCTTTTAGTTTTATTAAAATGGGTAGAGAGTAGATTGTGGTGAGATATGTGGTCATTGGAATGACAACTTTTTTCATGGAATGTGGCTGAAACTCAACAGCCCGCCAAAATTCTCTAAGACATGCCCCATTTTTATTCAACTCAACTTCATCATGTCACAGTCATTGGATATACGAAAGTTATAATATTTACTATATTAGATGAAAATTGTCAAAGATGATTCATTGACCTACTTCATTGATTTTTAAACTTCACAAAAATATCAAAAATGAATTTTGGTGATCACTGTCGTAAAGTTCAAACTCTATTTTATTTATTTTTTATTTATTTTTTGATTTATTAAATAATAGTTTGTGTGATTTCAAGTTTTTCAAACCTTTTCATTCAAATACAATTCCTTTAGTTTTTCTAAATTTTAATTTGATCAATTAAATCATATGTAATTACTTATGTAAGAATTATTAGATGGAACTAATGATCAAAATCACATTTATCAAGGTGCTGATGTCATCTCAACATCCACACTTAAAATTTTCCATTTTTAGAAAATTTTAAATATATTTTATATTCATCATTTAGTCCATAAATCATAAAAACTAGTATTCTTTGAAAAAAATTGACGTATTATCAAATAGTATATTACATCTCTATGATCAAATTAAAAATTTATAAATATTTTAAAAAACTTTTATCTAATTCTAATTTATTTATTTATTATAAAATATTTTAAAGTTTTAAATATTCATATTTTAAAATTGTATAAATATTAAATTTATGATATTTATTATACAATAATTAGGTCATATTAAAAATTATTCAGAAGTATAAACAATGGGATTCAATAATGGAAAAAATAATAAATCAATTATATGAGTCTTTGTAAAATATGCCTTAAGACAATATGGTACTCAATTGATCAAATTTTGACCAAATATTATATTTCCAGAATAAATAGATGAAAATAAGGATGTGAAGTATAGACACCTCAAATGAATTGAGACATGAATCGGGCACTTCAAGCTAATAGGATGCTCAAAAATAAAAGATTTGAGAGTAGTTGAAGAGGTGATGGATGATGAGGATTTTGAAAATGAATATATTTTTTTCCAAACTAAGGTTTATTTACCTACAAAGTGCATCGAATGTGAGGAAGAGCTTGTGCATACATCTCTTGTTGTTTCCTTCCTTGGTGCTACTCCAAGTGGATGACTGTCCATAGGTGAAGAAGCTGCTCTTTGGGCTCTCTGGTGCTAAGAACATCAAAGTGATCGGTGGAAACAAAGAATGGTGGAATCGATTAGAGTGGGACAATGAAGACAGCCAAATATATTTGATTGAGTGACTAGGTAGATTTTAACCTCTATTGGACAGAGTTCTCTTGTTCATTAGCAGCCATACAAAGAGTGGTGTGTATTAGAGTAGTTATTTTACCCTCCTAGTTGATTATGCATCTCTCTCTCTCGTTATGGCTTGATTTAAATTATTCCTACTTACCTTCTTATACCTTGATAGATTTAATGAAATGTCTTAGTCTACTAAGTTAGTTATAAAAAAATTAGGTGATGTTATCATCACTTCTCATGATCTATCCAAGATCTTTGTTATGTGACTACATGTCTGCACTACATTAGGGCCCCATGTTTAGTTGAATGTGATCTCACAGTTCAATTGACCATGTGTTTGAATTTGATCTGAATTTTGTTCTTGGGTTTTGAATTTAAACTAGATAATTTCAAGAGAAGAATTAATGTTTTATCAATAGATGACTATGTGTTAGATTGGAAGAAGTCATTGGCTTAACTTCCAAAAAAAAAGAAAATAGTTGCTCTCTTGGCAGAATGTAGGATCTCGAGACAAATAGTCTTTGACTAAATCATTTGCCAAACTAACTTGTAAAATCCGATCAAAAGAGAATTGATAAATTAGAGGAACACATAAATTATCATTTATTTGACCAAATGGATTAAGTAGTGAGATTTCCAAAGGAAACGCTTATCTTGTCTAATTTACATCTTGGCTATACCTCTTTCTGTTATGCCTTGGAAGCAAAGTCAATGATTGCTCTCTCTCTCTCTCTCTCGTGCATGCGCACACGCCCATCCCTTCCTTCCTATGTAGAGAATTTCCTCAGAGACGGTGACCCAAATCACCAGATCGAATCGGCCTTTGCCTTTAAGAGGGTGGTCTTCCCTATTCCTCCCATGTCATAGACCTTGATGATTCTCACTTCATCGTCCTCCAGGAGTTGGTGGATCTTCAACAACATCTCCTCCTCATCCACCATCGAGAGTGAAGAGCTCAGGATTGGAATCATCGTGGGTGACAGCGCCTAGACGATTAGGTGGAGATTGCTCTTCTAGGTCTTCAGCCTCTGAACTTTGAGACACTCAGTAGCTTCACTCTTGGATAAGGATCCAAAAGAAGAGCCCTCAGAGGAGCCCGCCCTCTGTTGTGTGGGAACCTAGAATTTGTTCACCTAGGCCTCGATGTTCATCACCTCTTTGAGGCATTTCTCGGCCCACTCGATCCCCTCTAAGTTCTCATGCTCATCTAATCTAGTGATTTGGGTCACCGTCTTAAAGGAGCCTTATGTTCTGAAGGTTTAAGAGGACATCGTCGTCCAGTTGGGCTACTCTCGCCCCGACCAGGGCTAGACGCTTCCAGGGCATCCAATTGACTAGGGCCAGCACCTTGCTGAAGGTTTTCTCCGACATGAAGTTCCTTCTGCTGTTGGATGATCTTTGAGAGAAACTAGACCTCGGTGCTATAGGCATCTCCTTATCCTCCCTTGGGAAAGGAAGCAAGATACTCTTTACCACACAGATAGAGAAAGTGTCCAACTGGATGAACGTTGAGTAGAAAGTTAAGGTGCTCGTGTTGAATCCAGCAAACTTTTGGGAACTCTTTTGCCAAAAGTTGGGCAGGGAAGAAGATGGCGAGTCTCCACTCCACATGGAGTTCTTCACCAAGTTCTCCCGACCTCCTCTTCTCGTGGCCACTCGATCCCTCTTTATAACTGAAGTCTTGGTGTTGCATGTCTTGCATGCTCCCATGTGCGTTTGTCCCTTTCAGCATATGACTCCAGCCAGCCTTGCCTCATTCTTGGGCTGGGCCGACTTCTTTGGAACCTCTTTCCTATTGAGCCCATTTAAAAAAAAAAGCTAGTGATGCTTTCGGCTACTAGACATTTGAGTTGTCAAGGTCTCAACAAAAGACCAG